GTCAGCAGATCAAAGCCATGATTTAATAACACTTAGTTCAATTAATAAATTTCCTAAGGCAGACAAATTGTTTAATTAACAAATTTAACAACAAATAAAAATAAGTTTAATTGTCAAATGTCAGATGACAGTAAAATGTAGTTTACAGTGAACTTTTAAAAGTGACAGAAAAATAGGTACTGCTCTAATTTTTAATTCCGCAACTGTACGTATGTCTGTTTTTGAACTAACTACACGTGAAACGTCAAATAAAATGTCAAGTCGAAAACGGCAAAATGGGCTGGAATTAGTCGGTGACGTAGATTAATAAGACCGTTCTTTTATAAAGGTAAATCATAAATTTAGTTATCTTTTTGATCATGGGATTTTACCTTTCCACTTGTCATTTTATTTGACGTTTCACAGACATACGTTTTCGGATACAGGGACAAATTATCTTGATGTCTCGATACTTACTTAGTATTTTACTAATTTAAAAAGAAATCAACAATTGTAATTTTCTTTGGGTCACATCTTAGGTATCTAATTAAATTAAGTTTATATCTGTTTGAATAATGAATGAATTCGATAGATTTTTTTAATGTCGAAATGGCAACACCAAAATATTATGTATGACATAAAGTTTTCAAAAAAAAATATCCAAAAAGTGAAATAATATCAATAAAAAACAAAGATAGAATTTTATATCAAGTTAAAAATTTTGTATTTTTTAAAAAGAAGATTGACCTGTTCGAGCATTTTTCCAAAACACAGTATTTTCGGTTTTAATAAATAAGATTATTCTATAGTTTTGCCGCTCACTGTATACCCTCATCATTCTAAACATTTTTAGATAGCCCCCCTCCCAAAATTAATTCCTGGATCCGCCCCTGTCCCAAAAAGCATTTTATCTTACAGGTTGAGTTTTTGAGCTACCTTAGACCATTGTTTTCGGTGATAGAAATCAAATATGTATTATTCACAAGTGAGATAAAGTTGACTATTATATTATATTTACTATTATATTTTTATAGGTGAATATTTTACTTGAATGAAACTTCATTTTTTGGATAGTTGCACCTGTAAGATAAAACGTCGTATATCACACGTGATCGAAATGCCATTAAGAAACTCGTGAGAAGTGTCCCACTCGTGCGCAAGCGCACTCGTCGGTCAAAATTCTCACTCGCGTATAATGATGCATTTCTATCACTTATAATATAATGTACTATTGTGTAACTGAAAACAGTCGCACAAAATGCCTATTGTCACACCGAAATAGAAAAAAGCTCTTTATGCTTTTTTATGCACTTTCCCTTACTTATGCTTTGTTCACTTATTTGTTTTTATGCTTTTTCTCTTTCTTATTATGCTTTGCGTTCTTATTATTTGCTCTTATGCTCTCTCTCTCTCTCTCTCCCCTTCTTATTATACTTATTAGAACATGTGCACATGTTTTAAAGTACGCGCTCTTATGCGCCCACCATCTTTTATTGTATATTTGAGTTAGTGTTTGAATTTGAATTAGTGAAAAATTACTAATTTGAGCGGAATTACCTGTCGGAAAGCGGGACCTTATGCGGCTACACCACCACATCGCCGACACTCTCGATGTTTTAATTCAATATATTCATACAGACTTACACAAAACTTTTCAAAAATTTATTTTTGGTATTTTTGCAACGTTTTTGTATTTTTCTAAGTTTCTTGAACCCCCAATTCAATTTGGAAATTATTCGATTTTTGTCGATTTTCGGTACCCTGAGCGGGTTACTGCTAATAACTTGAGAATAATTGACGCTAGCCTTTTTTGTCTGGTAGATTAAATAGAAATCAAGGAAACTGGTGATAAAGTCAAAAATATACAAAATATTACTTCAACTATAACTTCTAAACGATCAAAAATTTTGCAGTTTTTTGGATGCAAATCGATTTCTCGGAACATTTATTATAGAACAAACAAGAAAAAATTGTAAGCTTTTCTAAAAATATGCATTTAAAAATATTATTTTATTGATTAAGAAAGATTGTTCCGACCCATATTTTTTCTGAAACTATCTAGCATTGTCTTAAAATTAGAGATAACTCATAAAAATAAAATAAATAAAAGAACAAACAATACAGATGCACTTAAGTAATAAGCCGTAGATAAAGTTTATTTCTTTTCCAATACCCTTTCCTCGAAAATCGATGTAAAACTCGCCAACAAAGTCCCGTTCCGGCTTCTCGCCTCCGTTTGTCAAGATCTCGGTAATCGCTCAAAAAGAAAGGGTATTTCCTAAAATCTTCGTTTAAATTTGAGTGCGTCGATTAATTTAATTGTCTTTGTTGCAAAGCGTCGCTTTTAACGTGTTGATTCAAAGCGGTTCGATTGAGACCAAGAATGGTTAAGTTCCACCCTTTCTTTGTTTCAAAGGACACTAATCCTGCCGATCCTCCCGCTTTCTGTCGTCGAGAACGTGAAATTAAACATTCCAATCACTGGCCTTAGACTGATGGATGACTTATTGATCAATCAGATCGATTATTGGATCGGATATTTACGAGAGACAAGACTTCAACTAGAACAATCGTCGGCCGTTTAACGTTTTAATGAAGCTGTAATTAATTCTACCCTGAGAGCACATCATTTTGCCATTGGTTGGCAATTACATTTGCTCTACCACTTTGCAGTTCGCTAGCAAACAAAGAGGTGGAGAATGACCCATAATTTGTTGAAATGTAGAAAAGTTGTAAAGTATTGATTAGATTGAAGAGAGAGAACTTCGAAGCGGTTGCATCTTTATAAACAAGACAAATATCTTGTCGTAACGAAAAGGGAAGAAAAAGAAAGGTCTCGCGATCGTAATAATCTCGTAATGACAAGACCCTCTTTCACTGAGTCTTTTTAAAAATAATTACGGAGAAGATTTATGTGCTATAATTTAGTCGGTACATTGTACAACATGGCCTTTTAATGGTTTTTGTCGCCAAACAATAAAAATGTGATTTAATTAGCATAAAACAGTGATATTCGCGCTGTAGTGGTGCACCGAAAAATCGTTCTTCGTCGCAAGTACGATTATGACCGTTCATTTCCGTTAAATTGTGAAGCACTGATTTAAATTTAGATAAATTCGATTGATTTACTACACATGACTTAATTTAAAAAGAGTTTTATTATGTTTGTAATATTGCTAAAATTTTTCATTTCAGATAGGAACATTAGAGTTTAATGGAATTTTTGAACCGATAAGTACTGATAACGCAAGAAATATATTCAATAAACTCATCCAGCTCGTACAAGTACCCACTTAAAATATTTATTCCGTTGCAAGTCTCATGTTGGTTTATTTTACTCAAAGCTACAAAGAATAGTGTTTGCAATAAATACAGCTCCGGCTTAAAAGTGGAGAATCAAGTGCCCGAACATTTTAAGTAGACATGCAATGTTGATATCCGAGATGTTGGATAACAGCAGGATAAACTGTGAAAGAAAACTACAAATGGAAGCGTGTTTCCTGTCAGAATATCTGCCGTTTAGCAGCCAATATCACTGCAGGATCGACGTTCGATGTGGCAAAAGAATGTAATCAAATGGGGATCTAAATTGAATGCCTTTACATAATGCCATTGTTTATTTAACATTTTTCTATCATTAAAAATCATAAAAAAGAATTAATTTCTTAGTTTATTACAAAATTTGATGTTTTGAGTAACATACTAACAAATAAACAGGTGTTTTAGTAATGCAAAACTAACATACTGTCTGTTCAAGAATTTTGGTCACAGAAATAATATTATTATTATTATTATAAAAAATTTGGGCATTGACCATTTTCCACGTGGCCAAGGAGGCTGATCATTAGGGATAGTGTTGCTATTAATAACAATAGAAACATGCATTTTTTTTTATCACAAAAGTTTTGAAAATATTAAGAAAACAAATAGTACATTGTATTTTTTGCGAAGTTGTCTTTCAAACCATTACATTTGAAAAAAATTAAAGGTGGCTTTGCATTTAAAGGAACATAACCAAAAACTATCAACGCCAAATGGTGAACAAGAAAAAGTAATAATTGACCAGTTTCGCGATTTTTTTAGAAAAATCAGCTATGAATTTAATTCATAGTCAAAATGTCAGATTCAATTATTTAAATTATTATTATTGTTATTAAAAAATTTGGCTTAACTTTGAGAGCTATTTGGACAATATAATTAGTTAGCTAATGAGAAATGAAAAATGTAAGAAAATAACATAAAAAACATTTTATTTTATTATGGTAAATTGATAATACGCGTATACCTAGTTAGTTATGCATTAATGTCGAGATTAAAGAATATGACTTGAGAGTATCATGTTTAAAGTTTAAGTATTAGCTAATATTTTCGTCCAAAAACAAATCAAATACAAATTTTTTCGTCTTTGTTTTAATTAATATTTTTAATAAATGTATATTTAAATTTTTCACAATAACAGTATTTTATGTATCAAGTACGCAAAATGTTGTTTTAGAGGACGAATCGTAATTAATGACGAAAAAGGTCTTTCTTTTTCTGAAAATAGTTTTAAAAATGCCAAAAACTGTAATTTTCATTTCCATTTCTCAATGTAAATTTATTGTTAATTTTGCAATAAAATCATGTTTCTAATGTGTTGCTAAGTTACCTTTCAGTCCGCTAAAATGGACAAAAAGTACTAGGCCGCTAAAATAGCATTTTGCGGACTCAAATGAGTTCGCTAAAATATCATTTTGCGGAGCGTGTACCAAAAAATATTTTTTTTTAATAAATGCCATTTAAGCTAAACAAATTACACTTGTTTCTTTTATTATTTTAAATTGTACATAATTTAAGGTTTAATCATATGTGTCTCATAAAACTAAAATTTTATTGCTCATTGAATATTAAAATATTTTCAGAAGCTGTAATTCAAACAAAACATCTTTATTATACAGAATTTACAACACCTGTTTTGTATAAATGTAATTGTGACTTATATATTGTTGAATTTACAGTAAAACACATTTTACATAGCAATAAACACTTTATTTTGATATCCTTACCATGTTTACATAAGTTACAGATCGTCTTATAGAGACATAGTAAATTTGAAACATTAAACGAATCGTATATAATTTATATAATTTCATAATTATACCACAGCAGCTCCGGCACCGAAGCGCATGATATCACATTCATTAAGATAACAATGTTTTAAAATTGTGTATATACACTATAATACACATTTGTGCCTACAGACTTTCCACTCGCTCACTCATTGCCTTCGTTTCAAAATCAGTCTATAAAAAATCGTTTCTGTACAAAATACATTCACTAGTTTAGAAAAGTTTGGTAATCCGTACATGACTAGAAATGAAATTACAAAGGGATAATATGGCCGCAAACCCTTTGATAAGTTATGTTGTAATATACATTTGATATACACACAGACATGATGTGATTAGAAAGACACGTAGACCCGATATGATGTGTACATCAGATATGTCCATATTTGTAGATTACGCACTATTTACACTCCTTTTTAGACGCAACTTTCCTGCTGGCAGCCCATAAGTGGTGTTCGAACCGTCACAGCATCCCGGTGGTAAAGCCCCGGCTTGGCGGAAGGAAAGAGAGATGACACGGGAGACACCAAGGGCGAAGTTTTGCCGGGAATTGGAGGCGGCAGTCGTCTGCCGTGGTCTATTTGGGCGTATATTGTCGAGTCTTCGCGGTTGCGAAGAGTGCTGTATTGGCTACCGCCGTTTTTCATCGTATCCAGAGAATTCGGACTTGCCAGAGACAGCTCTGCATAAGTCACCTCGTTGCCCTGCAGAAATTTATGCTTTAGAGCTTTTATCCCAGTTACGAAGCAAGACAGCATGCTTTTAAAAAAAAATTCAAAAAGATAACATGCAAAAAAAAACGAAAGATAGAAGAAGAACAGGCTTCAAAATTTTAGATTTAAGTAGTTTCAAACTGTTTATAAATATTTATTATTTAAACTACAAGTATTTTTACTGCTGCAACATTACCTATAGTGCCATGCCTTGAGAAGATACTTTCTAATATTTGAAAAAGTAAGTAATTTCTAAAACAAACTAAAGACTAACTACTCAAATAGTTATTTATATATCAAGGGAATAAACAATTACATATTTTACTCCTAGGTAGATAATGACAGAGGCGACTGAAAAGAGCCTAGGCTATTTCCATTCGAGTGATTAACGATGTTTATTCCAAAGATGCATACAAAACTTTCCTCCCAACAGACTAAATTAATATAACATAAAGAAATGATAAATTTGTCAAATAATGTCAAATCATTTGGCGAAACGAATATTTTATGAACTGAATAGTTCGTTCAATTGCAATTTTAAGAGTAAAAATTCATATCAAAGAGTGTATTTATGTCAAAAAACACTCAAAAAATCAATTTATTCAATTTTAGTTTATTTGAAGAGTTAGAATAGCTATTTCGGTATAAAAAAGGACCAGATTATTAAAACGAAGCATTAAAGCGTCACTTTATTCCCCGTTGGGAGGAAAGTAAAAAATTGATTAATATGTAATATGCCAAACCAGTCAAATTATTAAGCAAAAATTTATTTATATAATTTGACCGGCCTAGATAAGACTTAGTATACAAAAGGTACTTCGTAGCTTATATTTGCAAACATACCTATGTAGCCTAGCCCTTTCTAATGTCACTAAAAATGAATAAAAACAGAAGTATTATTCTGCCATAATTTTTATGGAATTAAAAAATCAGTGTCATGTTATCCACTTTTATGTAATCGTACCCTTGTCACCTTTATGCCAGTCTGACGGTGAGAGTTCAACAGAGAACCAAGAACTCAAGAGGGATATGTTTTGATTCAAAATGAAGAAATTGCTGGGCCATAAAATTATTTGTGTTATTTGTATTACGGAAAAAACATAACTTAATAATTTTAAAAATGAAAATTGTTTTTTATTGAGCTAAAATAGAAAATGAAATGTTTTTCCTGTTTTGAATATTTAAAAACAGTTTGAAACGGAGAAAAAAAAGTTTAGTAGTGAGAAGTCGGAAATTGTCTATTATTCATAATACCTATCGTCCCCTTTTCAAGTAACTTAGTTTAATAAATGTCAGTAAACTGCCTATAGCTACCCTAAAAATATAAAAAATAAAAATATACACTAGGTAAATCAAGCTGTAAAAAATACAAAGTGCGTAAAACAGTCATAATGGCGTTAAAAATAATTTCGTCATCGTAAAAAGGTCGTATAATTCGTTGTAAACATCGAGCGAGACCCACTAAGATATGCAAAATATTCCACCAGAAATTGAATAAATTTGAATATAAGAAACTTTATCGTTGAACTAAATTAAAACAAACATGTAAATTCAGGGTTGATCCTAATAAACTACATCCCGAACTAGCTTCAAACAACAACAAGTATGCGAACGGCAAGTTAAAAGCTCTGGTAGAATCAATTATTATGCTAACTTACATGTTGGGAAGCGTAAGCTCGATCTCTAGCCATGAAGGCCTCTGCCAGGGGCGTGAGATTCTGCTGAGGGGGTGATGCTTCGTACTCTGTTGTAGCTGTCACTGAATTATTCAAACCGGGAGTTTGAGCGGCTGACCCCAGTTGATAATCGGAGTCTAAAATAGATGCAATAAAAATTTAGGTAAGACCAGAAACTGAAACTTCCTGATATTAATATTTTACTACAAGGTGATAAAACACAAATTTCTTAATCCATGCATACAGGCCTTTTCGAAACAGCGCCCCAGAAAAAACTATCAAGTGCCGACGACAATAAGTTATCAAAAAATACAAACGAAGAATTCAATTTTACTTCCATAACAAAGTTGCGACACTTTAAGTCCACCAATTCCCGAAGGGCCGTTTGCAATTTTACTACAAAATAATTCTGTGAGTTTCGAATAAAGGCGAATTGTTATTATTTTTTAAATCTAGCAACCAATATTATTGTGCATTAACACCTCGTGCCGCCCCTCTGGGATTGGTTGATGTAAAAATCTCGCAACTTTTGTCATACAAGCGAAACTATATTCTTCGGCACTTGACATTTCTTTTTATGGCGATGGTTCGGAAAGACCCTGTCACTTTTTCATTAATATCTTGCAACTGCAATGCATTGTAAATTATTAGGTATAAACTTTCCTTGATTAATAGTTATGGTAGATAATGTATCTTGTTCCGTCCCCATCGGATAATAAAACAATATTGGCATTGTTATTGTCTCGCAGTTAATTTATTGTGTTTTCAAATGCGACAAGTCAAATTCTCATTCGCTATGTTCATAATAAGCTAAGCGAGAGCATGAAAAGATTTAGACGAACCGTAAAATAAAAACTCAACGTTGTCAACAAAATGTTCCGGCTTTTAAGCTTGCATCCGCACAGCGTCAAACATCATTTATGTCTGCACTGCGAAATTCTTTAGACAATGAATAAATTCGCGATACAAGATTGTGGTGTTTTATAAAATTTTGTAAGAAAATAGTTTAGGATAAATTTGTGACAAGTGAAAGTAAATATTTGGAAAATGTTGTGAGATATGAGGTAGCTTTTGAAGCTTCTGGCAATTTCGGTGCAAGAAGCAGAAGCGTATTTGCATTATTCGAGAAATTTCTGTAATGAATGCCACACATTTTTAAAAGTGTTACTTTTACTTTCAAGAAAAGCACAATATACTTAGTAGTGACCCAAACATTATAATTACGTTTATAAGAAACAATATACAATAAGAAATTTAGTAATATTTTTTTCACTGTGGAGAATCTAAGGCTATTATTGTCTTTTATCAATACTAGAAGTTTGTGCACTTTTTATTTTTTGTTATTAAATAAAAAAATAAATACTAATAAACCGGGTGCATCCACCAAATTTAAACTTTCCAAAGATAATTGTTGATTGGATTTCAATATGACTTTAATGAAACCGGCAACTGGCTTTCAGCCAACGCGATTGTATACGTAAATAATATATGAAAAAATAATCATTTTGCATGAAGTCCCAAAACGACATCGTTAGCTTGAATTGGACATTCGAAAGCAAACAACGGCTCGAAATAAATTTACCTTTATTAGCCGGAATTACATCTGGATTTTTATCGTCTTTCTCAAACAAATCCTCGGATTCGGACCGTAACGGCAATGTGACTTTCTCCTTGACGGGCAGGAAGCCAGGTCTAAGAGCTCTAGAGCCCTGTCGATGCGCAGCTCGCACTTTGAGAGCCCCCAGAATTACGACTGTCACCAGGAGAAGTGCGGTCACGATGGCTACTAATATTCCCAGAATTGGCGCGATTTCCAGCTGATCCCGCGTTCCCAGCGACAAGACTGAAACATAATTTCAAGTTAAGCCACTGTCTAGAGATGAAAAATCGGATTCCACTTCGTCTAAGCGCTAAAATGTTCATTTAAAAAACAACAACGTGTAAAGTTTTTGACAACTATTGAATTTTATATCAAGGTCATCCTTTCCGAACCTTTAAGATTCTAAATTTGACTTAATGGGTGGCAAATGGGTGGTAAATAGTCATTAATCTGTTAGGATGGTCCACTGCCTAAAAGGTACGATAAAATGCGGGATAATAGTGGTATAAATATTTTGTATTAGGATGATAAAACATTAATTAAAAAAGAAGTCATTTTATACTGATCCTAATATTTTCTATAAAAAGCGTGAAAACAATGAATTCATAAAAGTTGCTAATTGTTGTTAAACAAAAAGTAGAATTTAATTACAGTGATTGTCAATTAGCCGACTTGAGAATTTGGAATGTTCAATTCATACCTGTTTGCTTTTCGGCAGCTTTCAGCATCAGGCCCTCCAGCATAACGGATTCGCTCTTTCCCTTGGAGTTGGCAGCGTAGACCACCATTTTGAGTATCTTTCCGGGATCGAGTCCGCTGATGGTAAACAAAGGGAACTTGGCGGACACATTGGCCTGAAGAGCGTCGGTCTGTTGATCGTAAACTTCCAGCAGAAAAAATTGCGGTTGGCCCCCATCAAACCCTTCCGAGCATTCGACGTCCAGCGATTCGCTGGTCTGGTTCATGATGGTGCAGTTGAAGGGAGGATCTGGCTTGCCGGCGGCGATGACGTGGAAGATGCACGGCTCCAATTGCCTCCCGGCCAAATTGTTTGCCCAACACATGACAGTGCCATAGTCTAACTCGTTCATAGGGGTGTACGTAAGGGTGGACGTGAAGTGGTGCACGCCCGAATGGTAGCGCATTTGGGGCACGTCCACGTTCTCGGCGGAGTTATTGAAAGACCATTTGAAGCTGTCGGGGGGTGGATAGGACTCCACCTCGCATAGGATTTTGGCATTCTCGTGGCGGGCTACGCCGTAAATGCGCTTTTGTTCGGGCCGGCATACAGGCTTGTCTGAAAGGAGAAACTCTGCTAACAACTGATTCAATGGAGTTTTTAACAGAAGACCACAAAGGACTTAAGCCGAGCTATTACAGCAACTATAAAGTAATCGGAATTAACGAAAACGTATTAAAGAGCCACTAAAATTAATGATACTATAAAAATTAAGGATTTTTGATAAGGTGGTCAACATGTATTTAGCTAGACGTTAAAATTTTACCGAAGTGTTTTACTTGCAACCATAAAACGGTTTATTACTCTCAATCTACACAATTCAAATGCCCAGTCATTTACCAGTTTATTCCTTCCAAGAAGTAGTTCAAACAATTGGTTCTATAAAAGCTTTATGCAACTTTAGCATTACATTTAGGAAAATTAAATGTAAATTAAAATTATTTTTCCAACAGAAATAAGTAGAGTCAAAGTGCAAAATTTAAACTCTCATAACTTCGAAATTTTTATAGATAATTTTTTTTTACATTTTTTCGATGTTCCTGGTATCTTACCTTATATGGCATTTTTCTCTGGGGCGTGAGTTCTGGCGCATTTTTACTAGTATCCTTTATACATAATAATAGTTATTTATTCGACGAGTTGAGTGTAAATCGGATGCTTTATTTCACGAGAGGATTATTAAACCACGAGTGTGAACGAGTGGTTTATCATCCACGAGGTGGAATAAATGACCCGATTTACACGAAGACGAGTTGAATACAACATTTTATTCTTTGAATTAAACTCAACAAGGCTTCATATTGTTTTAAATCTGTTAAAAACAATCAGGTATCGTATTGAGAAATGTCAAACACTTTTAAAACTTCCTTACACGGGAGAAAAACCTTAAATTTTGATAGTGTCGAAGAATAAAAAATATATATAAAATTTTTAATTTTTGCTTATTAGATGATCGTTTTAGTTAAGATTACTCGGAAAGTTTTATTTGTATAGTTTTATTACTACGAAAACTGCTTCTCTTTCTTTTGAGTCTATACCTACTCGATACCAAATTTCATTTATTTTTAGAAATTGATTATTTCACACCAGTACTACTTTAAAACTACACAATCTTTTTCTGTATGTAACTTGTGTTAGACTTAAAATGTTGAACTTTGTATCAGATAGATCAATTATTAGCTTCTAGTTAGGCTTAACATTAAAGTAGCAAATTTTGTATCATTACTATAATAACATTTAGTATAATTATATTAAGTTAGTATATACCAGGTGACTAAAAAGTATGGAACCAAGCGTTTTTCTCGTAAACTAAGCACTTTACGAAAAAAATAATTAGTGTAGCGTAAAGTACAATTAAAATGTGACCATTTATCAAGAATAACATTTTTCGAAATTTTTCTTAGTTTTCGAGTTCTGGAATTTTTTTTTTAAGTGGCAACCCACCATGGTAATTTTTTTAATTAAAGATTATGATCTAGAAATGACCTCTTATTAAATAAAATTGTTTTTTAGCCAGTACTTTTTTTTAATTAATTGTTAAAATTGCGTTCCGAGCTCATCACGAAGATTTTCCGAACTTAACCGAAGTGGTTGTGTCATGCATTTCATCATGGGAGGAGCTGATTTCTATGCAGGTGCTTTGGGGTGGTTTCGAATAGACTAAAAATAGAAGAAAATGATTTATTACATTTTTTGATCCATCCGGAACCACTCCAAAGCACCTGCACAAAAAACCGGGCTCTCCAATGACCAAAGTTATGAAACGACCCCCTCGTTCAAGTTCGGAAAATCTTCGTAATGGGCTCGGAACGTAACTTTAACAATTTATTAAAAAAAAGTACTGACTAAAAAACAATTCTGTTTAATTAGAGGTCATTTTAAGATCATAATCTTTAATTAAAAAATTACCATAGTGGGTTTCCATTTAAAAATGTTTTTTCCAGAACTGGAAAACTAAAAGAAATTTCGAAAAATGTTATTCTTGATAAATGGTCACATTTTAATTGCACTTTACGCTACACTAATTTTTATTTTTTCGTAAAGTGCTTAGTTTATGAAAAAAAACAGGCTTGTTTCCATACTTTTTGTTCACCTGGTATAGTATGCTGGTCCACAAAAATAGGATATCAATGTCATTCTGTTGATATTAAATGTAAAACGGCCTTTAGACAAAAATTGTCAATAATGCAGCAGACAGTTATGTTACTGATGGTATTTTGGCGTTTTTAAGGTTCTGAAAAATCGAATTTGCCGTTAAGACGCTCTACAGTACCTAAATTTAAAAATTTCAAAAACGTGTTGTCTTCATTTTTTCCTCACAGTAGTTTTAGATAAAAGAGAAAGGCAAATACATAATTACTCTCTGCCCAACAGTGATGTTAAAAAAAGGTGGAAATTCCTATATCCATAAATTAGCTTGAATGTTATGTGGTAATTAGGCCTGAATACTGGCAACATTAAGCGCGGCGAATTTGTAGAGACAATATCTCACAGCCTTAACGAGAAATTTTCAACTCTTTTTTGAATTTGGAAGATTTTCTTTGTTAAACCTTGTTAGATTTCATGATTACTGTTCACAAAAATTTATATTTTGTAGGTCGCGTAAAGCAAGTGATAAATATTGATGAAATCGGGGTTAAATTTGTGAGTGAAACTTACACATGATTTTGAGTTCCACCCTGTTACTATCACCATCCCCTTCGACGTTGGAAGCTACGCATGAATAATTTCCAGCTTGGCTCCTTGTAACTCCTTGTAAAGCCAGGTTCCCTCTACTTACAATAACGCCCTTTTGATTATGTTGTATAACTTGATCCTGAAAATAAATGAAACAATGTAAATAATTACTACTTCAACTATTCGAAATAAATTGAAAGCGCGTTCTCGAGACTCCATCAAGAATCGGATAATTGTTGTCTTTATTGGAACTTGATAATGTAAATATTCGATGTTAATCCGACAATTTTACGCTGGAATTATGATACAAACATACGTTTCGTCTAGAATACAAGATCACTCAGGCAGTAAATTAGTAAATCGATTAATTGTTAATGGTTTCCGTTTTCAATAGAGAGAACTGCGTGTCGGAGAGATCAATCAATTTATCCAACAACCCAAAAACGCGTTTTTCCTGATCTCTTCGATTCGTCTACATAATACCCTCCGTTTTTGTTTTCACACCAAACAGGGCATAAACATGGAGTCATGCAGAGAGGACGAGATCGATTTCAAAAACAAGGCAAATAACTAAATAAGTCTATTTAGTGAAGCAAAAATGGATATTAATATTTATCAACTGAAAATAATTGCAAAAGTCAATCTAGATAGACTTTTTTATGATCAATTTAATGTTTCATAATTCTTCGACAAATTCGGAAATTAAATAAGTTTTTGATTAGTAAACATTTCAATAAAAGTTTTAAACCCACTCACAAACTAGAGAAAACTCGGTAAAATTTTAATAATGTTCGGTTAAATGAAAAGTTAGCTTATCAGTTACAAATTTAAAACAACTACAGTGCGATCAAAAAGTCTTTCTATCAAGTAGGTGTACTAGTTGAGGACGTATGTCGCCTGGCAGTTCGTACAATAGGTACCTGTGTCAGCTAGATGGCAAAAATTATTGCATGAAACGTCTTAAAACATCCTGAAATGAGATGTAGTTGGTGTTTATTCAGACAAATCGTACACCACTATTGGCTGTTACAGTTTACATAAAAATTATTTTGACATTTATTATTTGTCGTTGTGACATTTTATTTAGACAGACTTTTTGATTGCACTGTATAAATAAATAATGAACTATAAACTCCAAATATTTCTTCAGCCTTTTAACCTGAGGTGTATACAGGCTGTCAAAAAAGTGTCAAATATACAATGAGGTAATAGCATAGGTCAAAATAATGGGTCCGCAAAGTAACGGTTTCGAATATAACGAATTTTCTTGTTAAAGTTGGCTGAGGTTTCTTAAAATAAACATGAAGAATGTGATTGTTGTTGTCAAAGCCTGCAAGATCGCCTGATTTAAACCCCCTAAATTTCTCTTTTTGGGGATATTTGAAAAACATTAGTGGTACCTACTCCTGTAAATAGCCTTGAGGATCTGTAGCTACGTATTTTAATCAACAATGCCAACAAACCCGAGGCAATGAGGAAGTTTTAGAAAGAGTTCAAATATACTTCAGACCAAGATGTCGTGCCTGTGGTATTTGGTATTTTATTTTTGCTAGAAACTTCTTTTGCGAACCCATGTTTATTGAAATTTTTTCCTTATTTTGGTTCATCCTATTATTTCCATAAATATTTTACACTCTTTTTTTTAACACTCTGTATAGTTATTCAAATTATTCTAAAACACGCTGAATAATCCATGCAGAAATATTTGAGTAAAAATGCGAATTAATTCAAAGCTTTTAACTAGCGGAAGCTTTAGCATGTGCTTTGAACTGCCATAGCTTTTATATAAACTTGCTAGTTAATTCCGGCGTAATGTTTTAAAGTTAAATGTCCTATGATGGGAAGATTAGCGCCTAAATTATTCATATATCTAAACTCTCGTCGAATTTTCATCAAAAACGTTGCTTGAGCCGTCTAAGAAGTCTCTGCGCTTGCAGACAATTAGCGTTTGATTTAATAACGTCTGGTAGCCAGTGACAAAAACCGCGTTAAGAAACAACACCAATAAAACAGAACAGCAAGCTTGCAAACATCTTTATTTTTTGCCGATGTTGAAATTTCTCTTTATTAGAGCGAAGTAGCGAGGTTGTGTGCTAAATACACACAAGTTGCTTGCTTATTTGTCTTTTATCTCAACTTGGAGACCACACACTTATCTAGAAGAGGCCAGAACTGTAATTAATAAACGAACTTTAGTCGTAGGAAAGTTTCGGTAATTCTGCACCACCCAATCTGAAATATTACTCTCTCTCGACGTTCAGCGAGGAAGAGTCCGACGGAGTTGACGTATACGTTATGACCGGGCAAGTATCATGTCCGCGCACAACTCTGTGTTTATTATATCAGGGAGAAACGCAACAACAGTGTTCAGTAATTACAGCTAAAAGTCTGGACGTGTCTAGAGTTTCTGGAATTCCAGAGCATTTCAGGAAGAGGTGTAGCGTAATTCGTGCATACCGTCCGAATACAAGCGTCTGACGTGGAGAAATGGATACATCCATTCAGCGATATTAAAGGGATGCTATGAGACATCAGGAATTCGCTACAATTGTTTCTTCGTTGTGCCTAAACTTCGATGCTCTTCGACGGCTGTATATTTTCCAAGGACGTGACTGCGCTTTATTGAACTAAGGACGTCCTTTTTAGCATTTCGATTCCGCACATAAATAAGCGTCGCTGTTTATTCGATAATGCCAAACTTTCAATCATTGCCCGGGAAAATACAGAGCCGCTCCAAAATTCTTTTCATTTCAGAATTAACTAGAGCATTAATATTGACGAGGGGTACTGTGGATGTCCTAAAAGTTAACAAATAGCCGGGAGGGCTAAATCATTGCTCCACCGACACTTACTTAAATGCACACTCGCTACTACCCTTAAGCAACAAAGTTTATTAACTCGAGTGGAATATATTAGGAATACAGAATTTTCAACATACACCTACGAGTACATGTTGAGGTTACAATAATAAATAATAAAACTAGTTGCAAAAAGCTTAATTTGGTTTGGGAATTAAAATCCCACAAACACTTTAAAATTGTTTAATAATGACTGAACCAGTTAAATATTTTGAATGAAGGTAAATCTGTTAGTAGTGTTTTTATTTTGTCTAGGACTAAAAAGTATCTTTTCCCAAGCTGTTAGGTATATCGTGGAGACGACGTAATATAAACACAAGAAATTATTTGTACACGAAATTGGTGCATAAAGTCTGCAATAAGTGTAAACTTGTGGAGTGTTAGCTAATACACAGAAGCTGTTCCAAGTTAAGACCGGTGTAATGTTACGCTGATGAAACATTTACAAGTGATAATTCACCTTAATTTAAAATTTACCTAACAAAATACACTGTGTCCATAAATGACTGAAGTTGGCTTTAAAATAATGTCAACCTCTGAATGTGCCGCTTTATAAACTGCTCCACAAAAGTTAAGAAAGTTGCATTATTTTTATAACGAACAAATTTTATTCTTCTGGAATCCAGCAAAAACAAAAAAGTAAAAAGATATCTGCCTTTATCTCACTTTTACTTGATTATTAATTTTTTTTCATAATTTATTAATTTAATTAATTATTGTAATTAATGCACACTTTCTTAACTTTTGTAGAGCAGTTTATTTTATGATACCTACTGAATACTAATAACACAAAATACTATATTTGACATGTGACAGTTACAGATTTCAAAATTGTGTCTCTTAGAAAGTAAAGCGGTGGAAAAACTGTAATCAACGGTCTCAGGTGAAAAGGAATACTTAAGTGAAAGCGTGTTGTGAAAAGAAACAAAAATTTTTAGTTTTTGGAAATGGGTGGATGGTGTACGTGGCGCGGAAGGCCACTGTTTAAAAAGATTTTTAATAAACACTTTTTAATCAAAATTTGGTATGTGGTCAATCACAAAGTGTAATTTAGGGCCCAAAGATTATTTAAAAATGATTTGCAGGTGTATTTACTATTTAGAGAGAATGTAAGTAGGCAGTAAAATAGGTTAACAACTGACAACACACCGTTCTTAATGATCGCCCATTTGACTATCACTTCGTAATTACATTTAAACAGTGTAGAAGAAAATATTTTTAACCTTATTGTTATAATCAGTGTTAATAATAGGCTAAGGGTCGGTTTTTCAAACGTTGGTTAAAGTGAAACCTCTAACTAAACTAAAAATGCAGGATTTTGATTGGTTAAATTGCAAAAATTTCCATAGAAACCAACTAACTAGAGGTTAACCAACGATTGAAAAACCGGCCCCAAGTAATACTAAAATTGTTAGAATTTTAATAAAATACACAAGGTGCTTATTTGTTCTTGTTGTCCCGGTGTAGTTCTTGTTCTTAGTCTAAGCTGCAAGAAAAGCAGTTAAGTAAAACATTCAGTAAATCTGAAATTTGTCACTGTCACATGTTATAGTTATTTATTCGACGAGTTTGAGTGTAAATCGGACGGATTATTTCACCGAGTGGGTTACTAAACCACGAGTGTAACGAGTGGGTTATTAAACCACGAGTGTAACGAGTGGTATATCATCCACGAGATGGAATAAAGCGTCTGATTTATACTCAAACGGGTTGAATACAACATTTTATTCTTCGAATTAGACTCAATAAGGCTTAAACTTGCTTTAAATCTGTGAAAAATAATCTGACGTTTCGTATTGAGAAATGCCAAACAGTTGTCAAAACTTCCTTACACGGGAGAAAAATCGAAAATTTTGACAGTGTCGAAGAATAAAATATATTTTCTGTTATCAGTATTCAGTATCATACAAAGCGGCACATTCAAAGGTTAACTTTATTTCAAAGCCAACTTGATACCTCAATCATTTGTGGACAGTCTGTACATTTGCTTGGAACTATTATTTTAGACCATTATGACCATTATCATATGTACAGGCTGTCTCACAGAGTGTGGTATATGTATATTTAAATATACGGGGCTTTCATTTCAAAAGGATCCAGTCTCAATAACTTTTGACATTGAGTAAATGTATTTTCAAGCAAAAACAGGTCGATTAGGATTTCGAAGGGGAAGTTGAAAACCAACATTAGTTACATTTTAAGTTTCATCCCCTAGTCGCTAGCCACCCCTACTTTGAAATTTTAAATGGCATCCCCTACTTTTTAGAAATGAAATGAAATG